AAGAACTGACATCTTAATTGAATCTTATGATTCATGAACATTAATATATTTAAGTCTTATTTAATTTCTCTCAGCAGTGTTTTGAGTTTTTATTGTATACATCTTTGTGGGATGGGGGTGTTGAGGTAGAGTCTCACTGTGCAGCCCAGGGTGGTCTTGAACTCACTATGTAGTCCAAGATAGCCTCGAGCTTGTGGTGATCTTCCTACCTCAGCCTCCCAAGTGATGGGACTACAGGCATGCACTACTACGCCATTGTAAACATCTTGGTATATGTCTTATTAAGTGAGCCTAAGATTTTTTTTTGTAACATTGGGAATGATACTTTAAAATTTTATGTCCAATCATTCATTGAGTATAAAAATATAATAGACTTTATGTATTCATCTTGCATCTTGTGACTTTGTTAAATTCATAATTAGTCCTAGCAGTGTCTTCCTTGGAGGTTTCTTGTGATTTCAATCATGTCATTTAAAAAACAATTTTATTTCTTCCGGTCTAACACATATGCATTTTTATTTTATTGTCTTTTTTGAGACAGGGATTCACTATGCAGTTCAGGCTGGCCTTGAGCTCACTTTGTAGCCCAGGCTGGTCTTGAACTTTTCCTCCTGCCTCAGCCTCCCAAGTGCTGGGATTACACGTATGTACCACCATGCCTGGCTATTTTGAATGCTGCCTTAATACTGGCTAGGATCTCTAATATAAAGTTGAATAGATAAAAGTCAATAATCTGTATTATTCCATAGTTTAGATGCAAAGTGTTTGTTCTTCCAACATTGAATATTATGCTACTTTTAGGTTCTTCATGTTGTTTTATAAGCTGAAGAAGTTTTTCTATTCTTTGTTTTCTTGAAGCTTTTAGTTGTTTAATTTAAAAAAGAGAATTTCGGGGCTGGGGATTTAGCTCAGCGGCATAAGCGCCTGTCTTGCAAGCAGGCAGTCGTGATCCCTGGTACCGATAAAAAAATGAAAAACAGACAAAAAAAATTCAAAAAAAAAAAAAGAGAATTTGAATTTTTTTGAGACATGGTCTTGCTATACAGTGCAGGCTGACCTTGAGCACACTTTGTAGCCCAGGCCAATCTCGAACTCACAACAATCCACCTGCCTCAGCCTCCTAAATGCTGGAATTACAGGTGTGTGTCACCACGCCTGGCCTGAATTTTGTTGAATGCTTTTTCTGTAATTCAAGAATATCTACTATAAAGTAAACAAATTACTTCCTGAATTATTTGATAGAGTTCATCAGTTTGTAAAATTTTCAGCACTGCATTTTAAAACCTCAGTTTTTGAAATTCAAATTATACACAGGTTAGGCTGCTTGATAGTACCCCTAAAGTCACTGAGGCACTATTTCTTTTCTGTTGTTTTGTTTTCTCATTATGCTTCAATTTGAATAATTTACTGAAAAATGTAGCCTCTAATCAGTTGCTAAATATAACCAGAGATACTTTTAAATTTTAGGTATGGTATTTTTTCAAAGCTGAAATCTACTTGTCTTTCTCTCTTTTAACACCTTCCATTTTCTACTTCATTATATTCATGTTTTCCTTTAAGTTTTTGAGTTCTTTCTCATTTTTTGGAGACATAATTTATACAAAATAAAAATAGTTAAGTCATTAAGTTGTTAGTCTCTGACTTACAAGGAGTCCTGTTCTGGAAGAATACTTGTAAGTCAGATTTGTTCATAAGTCCAACAAAGTATGTCTTATACACCACTGACACAAATATACAATGTTAAACATTAAAAAAAAAATGAGGTCCATTCACACCTCCTAAAGTTTGCAACTTGTATATTTGTAAATTGAGGACTTAACTGTATATCCTTTTTAATGTAAAATTCTGCAAGTTCTGACAAATATATATACAATGAAAAGACAAGTCTGCTCCAAAACTCCCCAGGAGCCTTTGTAGTTAACCTTCATACCTAGTTTAGTGACTACTAACCTATTTTTTCTCTGTATAGTTTGGTCTATGTAAGATACTGTATAGAAATCAGCTTCCACTACCTGTGGAAGCACATACCTATAATCCCAGTCCTGTGAAGAAAGGAGACCGAGACAGGATTTTGAGTTTATGGCCAGTATGGAATAGATACTGAGTTTTTATTGTTCAAGGCCAGTCTGTACTACATAGTGAGAACCTATCTCAAACCACCTCTCCAGCCCTATCACAAAGAGATCAGCTTCCCTATAGTATATGAAGTTTTACCCAAATATTTCAAGGAAAAAGACAGACACTATGGTAACTACTATTCTTTAAAAAAATTATTTAGTTATTTCTTATGTTTATTTTAATTAAGGGAAAAATTTAAAAAATTAGGATATATAATAGTAACTCTTTTTGATTTCCTATTAACTTGTTTTGAAGTCCTGTAATACTCCCACGATCTTGTTTTGACTGATTAGACTCTGTTCCATTCTGTGCGATAGTATCAAGTTTGAGGGTATAGGCAACTACTTTAAAGGCAATAAGATTCACTAAGATGCCCATTCTGGTTTGACTATTGTCTCCTTTGGAAGTCCTGTAATGTTTACAATGCCTAAGTTTTATTGGTCTTGTTCTCTACTGTTTTGTCCAACTTTATAATATCTAATGAGATAGACAATTCTTTTTAAGGAAACAAGAGACAACGTTGATAACCATTGTTAATAACCTTGTACTCTGTTCTACATCATGTGCTATGTTTATCCTTGGTTTTGACTGACAGCTTTGTTTTGCCATATTTGACTTTATTCTCTCCCCCCCCCAAAAAAAAGTAATAAGAACTAAGGAGTAATAAAATCCAAAATGTGTAAATTTTGTTGTAAAAAGGAGAGGGAGGAAAAAAAAAAAGAGCTCTAACAGATATAACAGCAAGTGTGTTTAGGGGTGTTAAATAGCTGACTATATTAATGTTTTTGGATCACTGAACACAGCTGTTTGCAGTCTCTCTGTTTGAATATCTACTTTGTATTCTTGGATACTGTGATGTGAGCAACTATTTCCAAGATGATAATATATAATCTATTAATAGGTGATTTCTTACTGTTATGTTTTTTTTTTGTAGTTCTGTATTATGTGTAACCTTACACCACTTTGTTTTGTTTTGTGTTTTTCTCTTTTTCCTCTTAAATAAAATAAATTAAAAAAAAAAAAAAAAAGAGATCAGCTTCCCCATGACCATGTAAGGAACTCCAATGATTCGTCCTTTAACAAAACTGATTAAAACTATTTCAAAAAATATTTAAGTCTCTTGAATAGTCCTATGGCACTATCAAACTAAGAAGTAGATATCAAAAATATCTACTAAAATTTGCTAAGAATAATAAAAGTTGATGGTATTTGAACTACCAACTTAGTGAGACTCCATTCTATTACAAAGTAGTACAGACAACAATATAAGGTTTCCTCTCCCAGAGCTTTCACTCTAAGGGCTATTCTGCACAGGAGGCAAAGGACATTAGCATTTTTATTCTTTCCTCAGCTGCTGCTGAAGTTAAATCCCATGTAAGAATGGCCACAAAGTGGGGGCTCCCTCCTTTCACCCTTCCCTCACTGGTAAGAAGAAGATTCTACCTTTGGTGTAGTAACACTGAGAATGCCAGGGCTCCAATTACTCTTGCCTTGGCTTTTAAAACAGAAATTCCACGCTTGGAGAGGCAAGCTGGGACAAGTATCTACTGGCCCTCTTCCACCTAGCACTCAATTCCTAAACCACAGAGACACTTGAGAGAGAAGTATGCTATTGTTCTCACCCTTAGCTCCAAAGCTGTGACTCAGATTTTCTCAGGGGAGACTAAGAATAAATAGCTCCTAAACTCCTTCTAGAGATAGTAACTCTATTTGCCACCAAGCATGGAGAAATTCAGAATCAAGGTCATGCTCAAATACAATGGAGGTTGTGTTGAAAGACAATTGAGAGATTTGCATCTTCAACGGAGATATCAGCTACATTGTAGGCTAACTACTTTGTATGAAAGAATGAGAAAATAGGTAGCTTGAAGTCCTCCTGGAATCTGTGCAAATTTCAAACACTGGAATCTTAGAAATATCCCTTCAAAGGACCCCAAATTTGATTAAGCTAGTCCATTGAATAATTTATGCCTGCAGCACTGTTGGAAACAGTATACCAACTTCTAGCAATTAGTTGAGTCCAACACCTAAGTATGTTCAGACCAAGAGATGGACAAAGAGAGCTATGATAAAGCCACCATCACTCCAGGGTGACTGGATATACCTATAGCTTAATCCTTAAGTAGCAGCATCAGAGGCTTAATACTGCAAGGAGAAAGTAAATTTCATCAAAATAATCTACCCAGTTACTAAACAAATAAATAAATAGTAAGTGCAGAGAGTGGAGGAAATTGCTATAGCCCAGCCCCCTTTTTTATTTTTTATTTTGAGACAGGATCTTGCTAAATTGCTAAATTGCCCAGGCTGGGTTTGAATTTGCAATCTGCCTGCTTCAGCCTTCTAGAGTACTGGGACTATAGGCATGCCCATCACGCCCAGCTTTAAAAGCAAATCTATGATGAAAAAAGAAGCAAATGACCATGAACATATTTCTTCCAAAGGTGACACGTCCTCAGGAATCACGTCAGGCAGGCCCTCTAGCAGGGATCCAGAGAAAGACATTTTTTCTCTTGGAAGAGGCTCCATGCAGTAGGACAAAATGTGGAAGACAGTGATATTGATGATTCTGATTCTTGGAGGCTTGGATTGTTGTGTGCCTGTGTCTTTGATTTTAATAAGCAAATTTGTTTGTTTGTTTGGTACTAGTAATTGAATTCTGGACCTCATACTTGCCTGGCAGGAGCTGCACCACTGAGCTAAATCCCCGGCCTATTTTTTTTTAAATAAAACTATATTCCCATCAGTTACAAGATTTTGTGTGGGAAAAAGAATTTATAGTTTCTTGAAATGAAAGTGTAGTGATAGAATTTTAAACTAAATTAAATAAGTTGAATAAATTAATTTTTTTTAATTTTCCAGAGAATACACAGTAGATTATATCCTGTGCTCTCATCAAGTTTTTCTTTTTTTTATTTATTTATTTATTTATTATTTATTTTTGTCTTTTTGAGACAGGGTCTCGTTATGCAGTTCACGCTGGCCTTGAGCTCACTTTGTAAATTAGGCTGGTCTCAAACTTGCAATGATCCTCCTGCCTCAGCCTTCAGAGTTCTGGGATTACACCACCATGGAGTGCACCACCATGCCTGGCTTCAAGTTTTCATTTCTCTCCTTCTTTGAGATGAAAATGAAGACCTGTTTTTAAATGCTTCACTAAAAGCTATACATGTGTCTTGCTGGGACAAACAACTGGATTCACAGAACGTGTGTCTGAGGTCAAACAAAGGAAAATTTGCCAAATACAGTAAGATATCTCCTATTCAACTTTCCAAATTCCAGGTCATCTCTGGACTGGCAACAGCTACCTCTGGGATAGAAAATATCTTGCCTTGAGTCATATCCTCTCTTCTGGTTCCTGGCCCAAATGCATGTCTATTGACGGTATAGGTGGTAGCTGTTGTTTTGTTAAAATTTTGTTTTCATTTTTTATTTGAAGTGAAGTTGAACCTTTGATTTTGGATTGGATTTAGTCCAAGAAGACCTTCACCCTGGCAAACATGCCTGGTCTCCATAGCAGGACAGAGCCAGCTCCCCAGCTGATGATGCCACATGACAAATGGACCACTGTCATGCTTACAGACTAATGGCCCACCCAAGTCTCCATGACAGTAAACTTTCCCTCAGCACACAGCATCTTGTCTACGACCCTTCCTAAAGGAGCAAAATGGTAGGTGTGTTCACAGACTGTTCTTTCTATCACTGGCCCTTGAATCTGCTATAAGTGACTGGCTGGGCCACTATCTTCAGTAGTGCTTCCCCAGCCATTCACAGCACAGATCTCAGAAGAAAACAGCAGTTCCATGCAACTTCAGAGACATATTGGCCTCATTATAGAGTTGTACTCCTGAGGAGAGCTCAGAGTCATAGGTCACTATACCAAAGTCTTCATGCATTGTGAGATGTCTGGCCTTTCTCACCTGCTCAGTTAATTTCTTCAGTGTTCTGTCATGGTCCCCAGCAATGATAGTCAGAATGGATTGTTGATTTTACACAATGGGCCACCATCAGGATCCAGACTGCATGGATGATGGTTCCTCCACAATGGTAGTCACCAAGTAACCTCACCTCTGCCTGGCATGGCCATCAGTGGGAACAGGCTTCCTGTCCTCCCAACATTCTGTAGAGCCACTGGGGGCTAAAGAGAAGGCAAAAGTAGATGTTACACAGAATAGCTTTTGCAGTAGATACAGGATTGTTTTTAGGAAGTGGTGGCAGTCTAATTTTCTTTAAGAAATCTAAATCATGTTCTTCAAGATCATTGTAAATCACAGAAGCATCATTAATACAGTTTTTGTTTTAAATTCAAAATCCTCAGATGTCAACTTTATGATGTATTTCTCTGCAACATGAATGAATCAGTGACACCACATATTTGGTTTATATCTGGTTTATAAGCAAGGATAACTAGCTGAGTGAACTGTTTCTTCTTCTGCCAGCACAGCCACACTGTCACAACTGGACCATGCTTCTGACTTCTGTACAGCAGTAAATGTGAGTTTTAAGTTACTGCAATTGCTTTCTATAACAGAAAAAAATATAATCGTGGCCTCATTGGTCTCTGCCAATAATGGTGAGAGTGGTCCATCGCTGCAGATCTTACTAATAAGCATTCCATTGTTTGATTGTAAGACTATGTAGTCATGATCACATCCAACTTTATTTTCTATGTCTAAATGTGTAAATTTTATAAAGACAATTTTATTCTCTGGTACCATTATTTTCCATGAGCAGTTATGAGAATGATTGTCCTCTTTGGAATAGGGGTATGGACAGTCCACTGAGATTTAAAAATCTATGATTATGTCTTGAGTGATAAAAATCCATCAGTATAAATCAAAACAACACTAAAATTACATCTTGCTCCAGAAAGAATGGCTATCATAAAGAATTCAAAAAAGCAACAAATATTGGTGAGATTGTGGACCTGAAAGAACCCTTTTACATTAGGAATCAAACAATAACAAATGCTTCCAAGGCAATGAGAGAGAAAAAAGGAACATTTCTACATTGTTGGTGGGAATGTAAACTAGAAGAACCACCAAGAAAATCAGTATGGAGATCCCATCAAAAAACTAAAAATATATATCCCCTTTACTCAGCTATATCTCTTTGTGTATCTTCCCAAAAGAGTTAATATTACAATGATACATTCATAGCTATATTTATAGTAGCACAAGTCATAAAACCTAAATTCTGGACATGACCCATCAACAGAAAAATGCCTAGAGAAAATCTGGTTAGTATATACAATGGTAAACTACACCATCATAAAGAAGGATAGACCTGAGTCATTTGTAGGAAAATAGATCCACTTTGAGACCATAATGCTAAGTCAAATAAATCAAAGGCAAAAGACAATATTGCATGATTTCCCTTACATGAAAAACCCAAAATACAAATTATTTAAAGAGTAAAATGAAAGATTATAGGAAACAAGGAAGTAGAATTTGTGGAAATGGGAAGGATATCTGGAGAAAGGGAGAGATGAAAGAGTAGGGAAGGCAGGAAAAATGATTATGATGTGATACCAATTCCCCAACATGTGTACCAATTCCCCAAGATGAATGTATTATATACCACAAACATATACTAATAACACATTTTTAAATGTATTTGCCAACAATTGGAGAATTTTAAAGAAATTCTACCAGACACATATGACCTACCTAAAGTGAGCCAACAAGATACATAAAGTCTAAACAGACCAAAAACAAGCAAGGAGATTGAAGCAGTAATTAAACCTCTAAAAGGTGGGAAAAGCTCAGACCAGGTGAATAATTTAAATTAACAAAAGTAAAGAAAGAATATCACTAAAGGCTGCTCTTGTAATAAACTATAAAATGCAATTCAAATAAATATTTCACTCTTTTCTTTTAAATGAATTTAAAATAAATTGTATAAAATGTGTATGATATATCTTTGACCCATAACATGGAGAATTCAAAAAAGATATAAGTGGGAGTAAAATTTTATTGGACTAAGAAAATGGCTATGGACTGTAAATTAGTAACTATACGGTGACATAATATAACAATAATGCCACGAAAAACAAGTAAGGATATTAGAGTTGAATAAAAGTAGCATTGCTATATCTTACTGGAATTAAACTAGTATAAATCTGAAGTTGATTTTGATAAGGGGTGTATGTGTGTGTGTTTTGATAGATAATGAGTTATATAGGTCTGGACTCAATCTTCTACATGAAGATATTCAGTCTTCCCAGAAGCATTTATTAAAGAGGCTATCTTTTTTTAAAAAAAGATGCTATCTTTCCTTTAGAGTATGTTTTTGGTCCTTTTGTCAAAGATCAAATAGCTAATTTTGCATGAAGTTGTTTTTGCTTTTTCTTATGTTCCATTGACCCAAATGACTGTTCTTGTGCCAATATCACGCTGTTTTAAACACAACAATGTTGTGATATAACTTCAAATCTGGAATTGTGATGTCTCCTGCTTTGCTTTTGTTACTCAGTATTGCTTTTGCTACCCTGGGTCTCCTCTGGTTACATATTATATTGGTTTTGCCTATCTAGGAACACGGAATTCTTTCCTTTTTTTTCTTTATCTTTTTGAGATGGTCTTACTATGTAGTTCAGGCTGGCCTCAAGCTCACTTTGTAGCTCAGGCTGGTCTTGAACTCACAATGATCCTCTTGCCTCAGTCTCTCAAGTGCTGAGATTACAGGTATGTACCACTATTCCTTGTTTATCTTTCCATTTTCTGGTGTCCTCTGCAATTTTTTCAGAGTGATATAATTTTCACTGTAGATGTCTTTCACTTCCTTAGGATAATTTTTATTTCACTTTTCTTGATGCTATCATAAATGGTTTTACTTTGTGTTAGTTACTTTCTTGTTACTGGGACAAAATACCCAACATAAAATGTAAAGTTGGAAAGGTTTATTTAGCTCACAATTTCAGTCCACAGTTAGCCGGTTCCAAGGCAGGGTGGCATGGCACAAGGGCATCACAGAGGAAAAACAATCCATGGAAAATCAGGCAAAAGACAGTGAAGCAGCATGCAGTAGCAGGGAAGCAAAGCTTCCCTTCCCTTTTTAATCCTATAAAACCTTTGGGTGATACCATCACACCCAGGGTGGGCCTTCTCATTATCCACATCTGAGAACTAAGTTAAATCAATCAGTAATCCATAAGTTAAATGCCATAGATAAAAAAAATCAATCAATTAGTAGATTAATACAGTGCAATACACCCTTTTTCCTATTATCACAGATACCTCCAGATCCAGCCAGCTCTGAAAAGCGCCACCTATGAGTGCATGAGACTTGGGGAGGCATTTAGATACAAAATATAACATTCCACCCCTGGGCCCCAAAAGACTCATGCATATCCCTTTATGTAAAAGGTAATTAGTTCATCTCTAAGAGTTACCAAGGTTCTAACAGCTGCAGCATTGCTGAAAAATCCAAAGTTTCCTCTGAGATTTAAGGCAGATTGTTAGCTGAAATCCCGCTATGAATTATTAAAAAATTAAATCCTTCCAGAATACAATGGCACAACATTCCTCTTCCAAAAGGTAAAATAGAGGGATACAAAGGAATGGAACCAAAGCAAGTTCAAAACCCAGCAGGGCAAATGTTAAGACACATAGTTCCATATCCAACATCCAGGTAGATCTGAGGTAAGCTGTGAACTCCAAATGGCTTGAGTGGCTCTGCTTCTGTGACATTGCCACTTACTATGGCCCTCGTCCTTCTTGGGCCACCTTTGCTCACTTCTTGTGACTTTCTTCAGGTGATTCATGTTCTTGGCTTCTCCAATCTTCTGTGATTTCCAAAGCACCTTTGGCTTCAAATTCACAGATTCACACAGTATCCTATCAGGGACACACTGCCTGGGCCTTCAGGCCTCATTCTGAAATCTGGGTGAAGCCTTCCTGATTCCACAATTTTCAATTCTGCATGCACCTAAAACCAGCACTGCATGGATGATGCCAAGGTTTGCCACAAATTAGGGTAGTAGTCAGTCTTATTTGTGTGTGTGTGTGTGTGTGTGTGTGTGTGCTTGTGTGTGTACCAGGGATTGAACTCAGGACAGCGTGCTTGCCAGGCAGGTGCCTGTGCGACTGAGCTAAATCCCCAGCTTCTTCCTTGTTTCTTGGTTGTACGACCCAATTGCCTGGATTGCTGAACACTATGAACCCAATCCCAAGGAAAAACTTCTCCAGGCTACGTCCATTCTGGTTACATGGTACTCTGGGGCTCTCTTCTCAAAGCATAATCTTTTACCTTTGCAATTTCAAGGCTGCAAAGGCTGTAGTCCTAATTCTTGTGATGTCCACAAGCTATATTTTCTATTGTCCTATTCCTTTTCAGCAACCAGGTCCTCCTCTGCTCCATCTTTTCAGGCCATAACTTTACTGGAGCTTTCTTTCTGAGAAAACTGAAAACTTTTTAAATCATTCTGCTGGGGCATTTGGTCCTGATTCTCAAGGCACATCTGACTAAAGCCCTAATAGTAGCCATGCCACTGGCTCCACATTAGATTGCCTTGAACTTTCTTATGCAAGATTAGTCTATTATCCTTAATTTCAAAGGCAAAGTCTCTGAACATGAGCAATAGGCAGACAAATTTTTGATCAGAGAATAACACACACGATCTGGAGTCTAACTGCCAATGGAGTTTTCTTCCTAACTGAAACTTCTGCAGCCTGATCTCTCCCAGTTGCATAACAGTCAGTCAACATTCTGGTCTTCTGAGCTCTGACCAGAATCTCCCATCAAACTCAGTTCACAGTATTCGAGGGCTGCTTCTTTAGCCAACATCTCCAAACCTTCCCAAACTCCTTGCATAAACCATTTCCATAGGCTTCTGAACTACATGTCCAGGCAGTATCACATCAATGACCCCACTACTCTGATGCCAAAATTTATTTACTTTTCTCACTATTGGGACAAAATACACAACACCCACAAGATAAAGGAAGAAGGTTTATTTCACAGTCTGTAGAAGTTTCAGTCCATAGTCAGTTGGCTCTGAGACAAAGCAGCATGGTAGAGGTGAATCAGAGAGGAGAAACAGTTGATGATGTGGGAGGCAGAAGGCAGCAAATTAGGGAAACAACAAGCAACAAGCCTCCCTTTTCCTTTTATTCCATCTAGGATATCAGAATTTTG